GTTTACCAATGCATAAAACATAGAGATTTACAATGATAATAGTGCTTTTGATGTTTTACCTATAGGCATATTGTAAATAAGTATCTTTCATAACAAATAGTATTGGGGATACTATAATTATACACAGTACAGACAATGATCAAAAACAAAACCTTGGCTACAATGCAAGACATGGTATGAAGCAACCAGCATCTATGATACAATGCCAGCTATGCCAGAAATACTGATTGATTGGCAACCCTAAGGACTCCCAACCAAAGAGACAAGAACTGTAGACTACCTCAAGGGTGCTTTTGGACTAGAGTTTTAAAATCAGTGCGATTTTTTATGTGTGTGTACTTAGGCACACGTTTTCATAGCTGTTGTTTGATCTCCAAAAGTACATTTATTTGTAGTCTGGAGTTAGAGAATGTCTTTACGTATAAACAGAAAGTATAATTTTCTGATTTTCCATTTCCCAAAGGAAGTCGGTTTGAACATCTGCTAAAGAGAATAGGACACCAGGCAAAGAATGCTTCAACAGAACTAAAAATTAGGTGTTTGGATGCGATTTCCTCTCTTCTTCATTTACCAGTAAGTAGATGAAAATGTTGATAGAAATTAGTAGATTATGTTTGGTAGACTAAATATTATGTGATTTGACATTTCAAAATTCAGATGAAGACATTTGTTAGGTAAGTGTTATCCTTAGTCTTACTGGGCATACCCTTTTAGTGGCTAGTGTTAATATAAGAGTTACCATAGAATCTTAGAGGTGGGAGTGACCTTAGAGATGATCTAGTCCAATTTCTTCATTTTACATGCAGTTGTGGGAACTGGGATCCAGTGGAGTAAAATGGCTTGATCATGATCACACAGATATTGGTAGAGATATGATTAGAATCCAGGGCTCTGGTTACTAATCCTGTATTCTTCTCAGCTACATGTTTGTGAAGATATTGGAATCAAAGGACCTAGATTTAGATCCTGTCTCTGCTGCTTATACATTGTTTTATCTTGGGCAAGTGGCTTAACCTTTCTGGAGCTCAGAGTAAAATGAGGGGTTTGAACCCTTTAAGGCTCTAGCTGTAAATTCCGAGAGTCTGTGCTCTTATTATCATATTGAAAAACATTAAGTAATTTTCCCCTCTTTGTCCTACAGTGTGATCAACAGACTGATGATCTCCTAAGAATGACAGAATTCTGGTTCTCATCTTTAACTCGGGAACCATTGGAACATTTTAGGGGGATCAGCACCCAACCTTTCCCGGAGCTGCATTGTGCTGCATTAAAAGTGTTCACAGTAAGTGTTCCTTCCCAAGTAAGCAGTGTCAAGTATAATTGCTAGAAAGTAGTTTTAACTTATATATTCCTGTCGATTAGACAAATGATTTTATTTTTGTGTGTAATAGAGGTTGGAATTTCCGATTTCATGAGACTTAAACATCTGAAAAGTAGTAATATGCTGTGGAATTTTGTGGGTTTTTTTTTTCCTGCCCTGTGCAGAAATTAGTCTAGTACATTTTAATCAAGGCATACATAAAGTCTTTTGAGTTCCTTTTTGATGTAACATGATGGTATCTAAATCCTTCTTTAATTTCTTGATTTGTTCTCAAGTCATTTAAGTACCTACCTGTAATGCAAAGCTTAGTGCTCTGTGTTGGATAAGGTGCCATAAAGAAGTGGAAGAAGCATTTTGTCCTGGAAGCAGAAAACTTGAGTTTTAGTCTTGGTTCTGTCATTTAATAGATATGTAACCATGGCAGATCATTTCACTTCTTTAAGCTGTGGTCTCCTCATCTGTGAAGTAGGGATAATAATATTTATTCTCTTGGGCTTTAATGAGAATACTTTGTAAGCTGTAAATGGGAGCTTTTATCAATTTTACGAGTAAGATATAGACCCTGTCTTTAAGGAGCTTCCATCCTTAGCTGTCATTATAACTTTTTTTTTTTTTTTTTTTTTTGAGATTAAAAAGGAATTGTTCTCTTCCTCTGTTGCTCTTTAGGCCATTGCAAACCAACCCTGGGCTCAGAAACTTATGCTTAACAGCCCAGGGTTTGTGGAATACGTTGTGGATCGGTCCGTGGAACATGATAAAGCTTCAAAAGATGCCAAATATGAACTAGTGAAAGCCCTTGCAAACTCGAAAACAATCGCAGAAATCTTTGGAAACCAATATTATTTAAGACTAAGAGCTTACCTGAGGGAAGGCCCATACTTCGTGAAGTCTGTTTCAACAACAGCTGTGGAAGGAGCAGAATGAGTTCCACAAAATTCAGTTTAGGGGACCAATCTTCGTGACCAAGACATCTTCCAAAGACCTTTGAGGGGTTTTTTTTTTTGTTTGTTTATTTGTATTTAACATAATAGAAAATACTTCTACGTCTAATTGCACTTTTAAAAAAATTATCATGGTGTGTTTAAGGTAGACTGACAACTATGCATTTGTTGTTGCTGTATTTGAAGTACATTGTGGAATAGGGGTTTGGAGCTCTTTGTAAAAAGAAAGTATTCCATATTGCAGAGGACTTTGGTCATTATTTGAACTAAGTATTTTTCTGCTTCCCTAAATACACATGATCTTGCCAAAACTGCATATAATTAAAAAAATATTTATAGTCCCAAATGCTGGGAAATCCTTTGTCCTATAGATACCTCAATAGAAAATGCTTTCTGCCACAAAGAATCCTGCTTTATTCAAAAGAGAAGCAAATTACATTAGGAATTCTCTTATCCTCTTGGCAAACCTTTTTGTTCTTTATCCTACTACCTCCTCACTATTGGATGTGCATATTCTTTAGATTATAAAGCAGTGTGGACCCCTAAAATTATGTGTTCTCATCTTTATAATGCAAGTAAACTATTTTTAATAAGGTCTCTGGTGAGCTTTTGAGATGAATTTTTATAATTGTTGTTGTTCTTTGTTAGGAAATGAGACATTCTGTGACTTAAGGAAAATCCAGGGGGTAAAAAACCCTTCCAATTTGAAATCTTGTTTTGATGACTCTATGCTATAACTACTGAATTGCATCTATTCTGTTTTTATATCTGACTCTACTTTTTTCCCATCGTACTTGATTAAAACTCTCCCTAGCAACACCTGCTGAAGACGCATTCTTATTCTATAGCTTCTGTTCCCTACAGAGTACTTGGATTCATTGAGTGTTAAAATTGGAAGTGACTTGACACTCAGTATTTCTTTCGTAAGTACTAAACTTGAGTTACTAGAAATAGGATGTTCGATTTATAAGGTACCTGAAGCTAATAAGTATTAATTTTTCCCCAATCACCATTAACCATTCACGTGTTTTGTACCTTGCACAGTACCCTAAATATAAGTGCTTAGTAAATATCTGTTAAAGATGGTTTTAAAATTGTGGAAGTTTTGAGCTGGAAGGGACCTTTGGGATCTTACAATTTTATAGATGAGGAAATTGAGGCCCAGAGAGGGGAAGTAACTTGCCTAGGGTCATACAGTGAGTTGGTGCCAACCAATTAGAATCAAGTCTCCTGACTACCCAGCTAGCACTCCTTCCACTTTTCATTACCTCTGTAGCACATCAGTAAACCTAACGACTTGCTTTTTCATACATTAGTGTATTGAAATAAATTGAATTTTTCCAAATGAATTTGGTGACTCTTCCATCCAAGAAAACTATATAAAAGTAATCAGTTGGCATTTACTAATGTTGAGTCAAGCACTGTGCTGGGCATTGGGGTATCCAATGGCAAAAATGAGATAGTTCCTGCCTTCAAAGAGCTTACTTTCTCTTGAAGGAAATAGCATATAAGACTATAATAAATAAATACAATATAATTTCTTAAGGAGAGGGTTTAGCACTTAGAAGGTTCAGGAAAGACCTCATAGGGAAGGGGCCATTTGAATAGCTGTGCTTTGAAGGGAGTTAGGAATTCTAAGAGGCAGAGATAATGATCAAATGTAATATTTGTAAAGTGCTTTGCAAATCTTAAAGCTCCATTTAAATGTTAGTTGTTATTGTTATTACCAGAAAAGAAACATCTTTCTAAACCAATAACATAACTATATTTGATGTTTAGAAAAATCCTGGGAGGTAGGTGTTATTGTTATCATCCCCATTTTACAGATGAGGAAACTGAGGGAGACATTAAATGACTAGCCCAGGGTCACTCATCTAGTAAGTGTTTGAGGCCAGATTTAAATTCAGGACTTCTTGTTTCCAGATTCAGCCACTATACCTCCTTGCTGTCTCTGGTAAAGTAATAGTGCTAATTTCGAAACCAAGTTGCATAGAGAAAAATATGATTCAGTTTCAGGAACTTGAGCGAAAAGTCTGCTGAATTAACATTCAAATCCTAAAATTTTAATTTGAAATTGCTGAATTAGCATTGTGTGCAAAATCCAATTTTCGCTTTTTGTCTTTCATATTAAAATTGCATTTTAAGAGAATTCTAATTTGTGGTGATAATAGAAAGAATACCAGATTTGGAATAAAAAAGAATTAGGTTTGAGTATAGACTACCATTTACTAGTAGTATGACTTAGACAACTCACTGTACCTCTCTAAGCCTCAGTTTCCTCACCTATAAAATTAGGGAGTTAACTTGATGGCAATGATCTCTAATGTCCTTTCCAGTTCTGACAAAGTAAAGGCTAGATAACTCTGGGATATTTTTGAGTCAGTTCATGTATCAGACAGAAATTTAGACTGGATAACTTCTAAGGTCTCTTCCACCTCTTAATATTATATATTTCTAGTACTTAGTTCTTGTCTAGCCTGTAAGAGAAATACGATGTGCCAACACTAAATGAATGAATTAATTGCTTCCTGTTTGTATTGTGGGGCCTGTTTGGACTTAGTTGAAAAATTTCTGCTGAAAATTACTAACATAGGAGGTAAATGAGCTAACTCAAGGAACTTGTATACTATAAGAATAAAATTAAGATTTATTTGTAGTAGGTACATATAATTCTTTGACACTAGATGATGGAGCTATGATTTTTTTTAGCTTATAGACCCATTTACTGCATGCACACAGTATTGGGTAACACTTTACAATAATTCTATTTAATTTTTTTCATTTAATTCAAGTCAGAGATATAAAAATACAAAGCTAGTTCCATTAACGTATGTATGACTGTCTTTGAATATTATTGAGAAGCTCTACAATTATAAAGAATAGGAAGAGGCAGTTCTTCATAGAAATAAATTTATTGCATTTTCCTTTTAAAAAGACAAGGTGATTGAAGAAAGAATTCTATGCTATATTAAATTCTTTAGGAACTGTTACATCATTGGTATTTGGGACATGAATTAAAAGGGCTGAGAAATTTCTTTTGTTTATATAATTGCAAAGGCTTTTATAGCTAAGCCTTTTGGGGAAAATACAAAGGGAAGACTGTTACTATGATAGGAGAAAGGGAAGTTGTAAAGCATATATTTTTCGTAGGAAAATAAAGTCTTAATTAGCAAAATAGATTGCATCATTTTTTATAGGTGCTATATTAAAGTGTTTAAAGCTATCAAGATAAGTTAGAAGTTTGCAGGAAACCAACCCATAATAGGTTTCAAGCAAGGTGCATTCTTTCCCATCATTAACTTCCCTCCATTGAAGTGGCATTTCTTCACCTGTCATTTCTGAGGATGTGAAGATGAACTTATAGCAGCATCGATTGTATCTGATATGCTTCTCTCCAGAAAACCGTGAACTGTGGATGGGTATGAGGCCAGCGTATTTGGCGCAGATTCCTATAACAACATCAGCAGGTATTGCCAAAGGTGCTTCCTTGAAAACCACATACATCATACGGGCCACATCCTGAGACACGATAAAGGCCTCTCCACTGCAGTAATCAGGGTAGTACTTTTCTGGATACTCACTAACTGGAACAAAATTCTGGCTTCGAGGATCTCTGTTGGGCATATCCTGATGAATGACCCTTCCCACATAGATGTCTTCAAGGTGGTCTTTTAAGTTGAGGAGATAATCCACCAGGCTAGGGAGATTGACAAACATCTCTTCATTGACCTTGAGGATGAACATGGCATTTGGGCAGAAAGTTACAGCCCACTGCATCATCATGATGGTCTTTAATGTTTGGTTCCCAGAACTGTCCAGGAAAAATCCTTCAATAATATCTCTGTATTTATTATACTCCATGTTGATGTCTTGCTGAGAGGTTCCCAGATCTGGCATTCCTAAGGCAAATAATGTGAGGATAGGATGTCCTCGTATAGTAGTTACATTAGCCCAGGTTTTCCTTATCAAATCCCTCCTTGACCCATTTCCTGGACTACTGAAGATAACAGAGAGTAAAAAGATATCTTCTCCCTTGCATGCCTCCTCCTGGCTCAAGATATAATATTTTGAGAGGTTATATCTTAAGGGCTCCACATTTAATTTTCTGGCTTTGTCCTTAATCTCAAGAACTCTCACATCTACATATGGTAATGACTGCAGAAAGTATTCTTCCACAAAGTCAGCTCCAAAGAGTAGAGCATGAAACAAGATGACATTAAATAAAATGAAGCACCATTGGTGAGTCCGAAGCCTACAGAATGTCACCTAAATAAGAAGAGAACATAGGGTAGTTGTCTGCAATCACCTGAAATTGGTGGAAATGTATTTGGAGTAGAAACCAATTATTTGCTATTCCTATTTTGAGTTAGCCTTTGATATCATTTACACAGAATTTGTTTCTCCTCTAATACAAGAAGTTTCATTTTTTTCAGTTGTCAAGCAGTTTTTTGTTAGCTATGGCATAATCTAAAATGCATATGTAGTTCTGACCCATGTTTCAAAGGTACTTTGTTAATATTTATATATAAATAATATATAATAAAATAATGTGTATATATAACTTTGCAAATATCCCAATATACTTTATATTTATGAAGGTACTCAAGTGTTCATTGGGACCAAATTAGATCTGCATGGTTTCCTGTCCAAAGAGGAATGCATAGTAGTTTTTAGCTGAGAAAGACACACAAAAATACAACATACAAGAGACTGCTATATCCTGCTTGCTGTGTGGTATGGCATCAGTAGAGATAAGATGCAAAAGGCAGGAGTTGGAAAAGGGGAGCTGAACCCATTTTCACTGACTCTTATCATATCATAGAGCTTCCCACCTTCCCTTTCACATAATTAAGAAGAGAAAAAACTCCTATTCCTTTGTAAAATGAGAGGGTTGAACCTCATAGATTTTAAGGTTCTTTCAGTCTCCAAATCTATGAGATCCTCTCTGGAGTCCTCTCATCATCATTATGGTCTGAATTTCTCATTTTCGTAGTTTGCCTGCAGCAAAAGGAAATGCAGACCTTTTTTAATACTGTATTTAGCCTAAGGTACTATAGGAAGAAACTAGGTTACATAGAATTCTGAATCTCTGCCTCTCAAAGAACAATAATAAATGCCTTAAACATTAAAAAAAAGTTTTACCTGCATTTTATCTGTGAGTGAATTCGGAATTCTCAAAGCACGTTAGTCCAAATACGGATTTGGGTTCAAATGTAAAGACGACTCCATTTGCAACTGAAGTGGAAGCACTTTATGTCTGGAACTTTAAGGATAAGGTTTCTCTCTAATCAGCTTGATCCTTTGTTCCAGCTTACTTGATGGATGCACAGAAATGCTCACGCTCACACACACACAAACATCCTGATCATATTGCAGTTGGAGAAAACCCAAAGTAATAGAGTCAGAACAGTCTACCTAATTCATTAGTCCCTCAGACTGTAGGGAATCATTAAAAAAGAAATATTCCTTGATGTTCAAAACAGTTAATGAAGTGTTGGACTTGATCTCCAGGGTTATGTTCATCCTTGTAAATAATTTGTTTACTTGAACAAAAGTTTTTCTAATATTTAACTTTTTTCATCTATCAAGTATGGTTGGATTAGATGATCTTGTGAGATCACCAGTGTTTTAAATGTGACAGAAAATAATGCAGGACTTTGTGGATCATGGGATTGGAATATGTGCATTTAAAGGATTTAAATAAGGGTCTGTTATAGGCTGGGTTTGATGACAATAACTATTAGCTCTAGAATCAGAGGACTTGGCTTCAAATTCTGCCTCTAACCAGTGTGACCTTGGGCTACTCACTTAACTTTCCTGGACCTCAATTTCCTCATCTGTAAAATGAAAGGATGGTTTTTGGGCTCCCTTCCAACTCAAGGTCTATGATTCTATGCCTTAGGACTGGCTAAATGACTGTTTTTTAAAAAGTCCATAGCATACCTGTTTCAAGCTGGAGGTTGGCCTGCCCCTGACTATGGGTGATTTCTTGATTCTCCTAGCCAAATGTTGGAGGTGGAGGTAGCATAAGGAAAGGGAAGAAGAGAAAGTGAATTTTTTTTTGTATTTTTTACAGCCATCAAAATATACTTTTTGGAAGTAGTATGTAGTGGAATAGAGTCAAGAAGAGATCTAGAGTCTAGTACATGTGTTGTTGCTAAATATGTGACCTTAAGTAAGTCACCTCATGTCTCTGAGATATGGCCTCACCTGCAGAATGAGTTGAATTAGCTGTATAACTACTTTCAGGTGTGAAAGTTGTGACTGCATTCACGGCCCTTTGACACATGGCACTGTGACTCAAGGTAGGGGTCTTGTTTGAACTTAAGGTAAATTTAACTACTTCAGTGTTAGGAAGCCAGGATCAATGAATATATTTCCATAAAAGTTGATGATGTAAGCAAGATAAAGAATAAAAATTAAGAAAGAAATTAATTAATAGATGAAATAAGATACCTGGGGAAATCATAGGAACACCCAATTCAGAACAAGGCAGGCACTCTGGCAATGTGAGATGAAAGGCTCTTTTAAAATCACATCCTTTTTTACATCTTTCAGTCTAGAAGAATTTTTACCACATTTCTTGTTCACATTTCCGTCGGTTTTTTACACATGCTTTCTATCAACTCTAGCCTTAGGGACAGGCCCAAGTTGACAAGCATTGCCATTTTGGGGGCTACTGCGCATGCTTCTTTCACACTCCTCGAGAAGTGAGGTCGGAAATGCTCTCGGGCGTACTTCCGGTTAGTGTCTTTCCTCCCCTTCGCCTGCCTAACTCGTCAGTTCCCGGGGGACGGGCTGGGCGCGCGGAGATGACGTACTGCGGCGCCGGAAGCCGCTCCCCTCCAAGCCTGCGGAACCCGAGCGGCGGCCGCGAGTCGGTGTGTGGGGTGGGGGCTGCGCGGGCTAGGGACGGCGGGGGCAGCCCGAGGAGGGGAAGAAGAAGAAGAGAGCTCGTGCCCGTCTGATCCCCTGTGTGTGTCTTTGTGTCTCCTTGTCCAGGCGCCATGGCTGCCGAAGGGGCCCGGCCGCTGCGAGGTTCCGCCGGCCCGCGGGCGCCCAGGCGGCGTGTGTCCGTCCCGAGGCCCCGGGTCCCGGAGCGCGCCCTCAGGTCAGTGCCCGGGGCAGGAAGCCGCGCGCGGGATATGTGGGGGGAAGGGAGTGTGCGGGGGGGGGGGGGGGGGAGGGCGGTGTCAGAGTCAGGCCGCCTCTTCACTCCTGCCCCGCCTTTTCCTCTCGTCCAGCTGTTTAAGCCTCTCCAGCCTCTGAGCCCTGACGGCCGCTTCCGCTCCGCAGGGGAGCCGTCCTCAGAAATCTTCATCCCAACAGCAACTGTAGCCCCTATTTTTATAGCATTTGAAGGCCCACAGAGCTTACCGTAATCTTGTGCTGTAGGTAGGGCCGGTATTAATCCATTTTGCGGGTGATGAAATGGAAATTCAGAGAAATGAAGTGATTTCAGATTGACTTGCCCAAATTCACAAACCTCGTTAAAAAACCAAAGCCTAGTTTTGCCCAAGATCATGCAGCTAGCAAGCATAGGACCCCAGTTTCTCAGACAGGTCCCTTTTCTTTCGGTCTAGTGTTCTTTACGACATAGTTAACACTACCAGTAATAATTGACATTTGCATAGCTTTTTGAAGTTTGGAAATCGGTTTACGCATATATTTATTTATATTTGAGCCTCACTACAATCCTCTGGTATTAGGTGAGAAAACCTAGGCACAGCAAATAAATTACTTGCCTGTTTTCGTATGGCTAGTAGTTGTCAATAGCAAGATTTGAACCTAGGTCCAGCTCCCTGACCACACCATACTGCTATGAGGTTTTTCCCATATGTATATGGTTATTTCTAAAGTATATCTTTAACTATCACATGCATAGATCCTTAGAATAGGAAAGGAACACCTTCATATTTCAGTTCCATCCAGTTCTGTCTTCTGTGTCTGTTGCAGTTATAACAAACCTGTATCACTGAGATATACAAAGCACTTCCCTTATAATCTTAGTAGTGAAGTAGTATGAGCAGTATTATCTCTATATTATATGTAAAAGAACTTATTTGGGGAAATTGTGACTTACTGGAGGTCATTCAGGTGTTAAATGGCGGTATGATTATTAGAATCCAGGCTTCTGACTCAAATTGGGTGCCCTAAGCTCTATACCATGCTGCCTATACTTAACCTCCAGTGATAAGGAATTAGTTCACTTTCACCTATGGCAGTGTACTCTATATTTTAACTAATTCTTTTGGCCTAATTCTTAGGAAGTTTTCCTTCTGTTAATACAAAGCCTAATCCACACCTTTAGTAAACTATCTTAACGATTTTGAAATAAGCTTACTTTAAAACATTGAGTTATTTAACTAGCATTTGTTATTCACCTATTATGCCAGGCACTGTGCTAGGGAAGGATACAAAGAAAGAAATTATACAGTCCCTCCCCTTGAAGAGCTTACACACTGTCAGGAGAAACAACATACTGAAGTATATGTAAAATCAGTACAAGGTAATGGAGGAGGTGGGGTAGGGAGAAGCACTAGCAGTTGGGGAGAACAGGAAAGACTCCATGTAGAAGGTGGCATTTGTAGTAGAAGATGTAATAATGATATCTCCCATTTATGTAGTACTTTAAGGTTTGTAAAAAAACTTTTCCTTACAGTCCTGAGCCTCAGGTAGTGCAAGAGAGCATTATGTTAGGTATTAGGAGAGATACAAAGTTTAGGTAAGAACTAGTCTCGGGGCAGCTAGGTGGCGCAGTGGATAGAGCACCAGCCTTGAAGTCAGGAGGACCTGAATTCAAATACCGTCTCAGACCAAACACTTGACACTTATTAGCTGTGTGACCCTGGGCAAATTACTTAACCCCAATTGCCTAAAAAAAAGAACTAGTCTCTGCCCTTGTGGTGTTTATATTTTAGTGGATGATAGGATACTAATATAGATACCTATGATATCTGGAATACACAACAAAAATTTCAGAGGGAATTAATAATACCTCTGGTGAGAGGCAGCTTGATGTAGTGGCTAGAGAGCTGTCTTTCAAGTCAAGAAGCCCTGGGTTCATGTCCTTTCAGTGATACATACTGGCTTTGGTTTTAGGCAAGCTGCTTTCCATCTCCGTGCCCCAGGTGATTCTTAAGACTGTAAATTGCAAAACAGATGCCGTTCTGCATTTGTAGAGGAATTTCTTCTTTGGAAGTTCCCTATACAAATGAAATCATAGGTCCAGAAAAAAATGCACTAGAAAGTTGCAAAAACTTATATTTGAGGAGAAGGTTGTTAACAATCTGGGGATCAGGTCATGGAAAAAGTGGCATTTGAGTTGGACTTTTAGTTTGAATTAGAATTTTGACAGGTGAAGTGGGCTAGGGAGTCATAGCGAACAGCATGAGCAAAGGCACAGAAAAGGGAAACACAAGTTTTGTTGAGGGATTACTTTGGTTGGAATTTAGAGTGCATAAAGGAGGGTAAACTGATAAAGATGACAAGGTGGAGGATCTCAAATGTGAAGCAGAGGAGTTTAAACTTCTTTGGCCAGGCAGTAGGAAGTTACGCAAGATTTTTTTAGTTGGGGGATGAGGTGACCAGATGTGGGCACAAATAGTGATCATTTTAGGGCCAGATTATGGAAAATCTTTGAATTCTCATCTAAGGAGTTTAAACTTTATTCTTTAGGAAATAGAAAGCATGCTGAAGGATCATAGATTTCAACCCTGAAGGGCCCTTAGAAGTTATCAGACCCAGCCCCCTTCATTTTATGGATTAGGAAACCAAGACCCAGAGAGCTTAAATGACTTACTCAAAATTGCATGGATAATACATGACAATGGCCAGATTTGAATCCAGGCCCTCTTTGATTCTTAGACTTGGCTTTTTCTATACAACCCATTGTATTTTAGAAATCTAGGGCCTTTTTTGAAATGTCTTCAGATCCCTGTCAGTATCTAGTTCTTCAAAGCGCTGTGATCTTTAATAATTTGATAGCACTAAAAAATTTATAAAGCACTTTCATATTTGTATGTTACAGTATGATACTGTAATAATACCTAATATAATTAGGATTATAGGATTTTAGAAATATAAAAGATCTTGGAAATCATGTTCCAACTCTCTTGTTACACTTACTCTGTTATATGTGAAAGGACAAGTATAAAGTCATAGAAATTTAAAGCTGTTAATGTGCATTTTCAGGCTCAGAAGGTGAGCTTCAGACATAGGAAGTCACAGATCCAGAATACTAGAATATAGCTTTTTTCACTTTCCACACGTCTAGTGCCACTTCTGCCACCAAGCTATACCCATGTGGGTAAATGGCAGGTCAGGGACAGAGTATTATGTACTTAGCACAATTTCATGCATATAGTGGGCCCTTAGTAAATGTTTGTTTAAATTGAGGGGAAAAAATAGAATAGGAAAAAAGGAAGGAAAGGAAGAGAGAGAAAAGTGTATTTGAGAGGACCATTTGTCTGTGGTCCCATTCAGTGGCACCAATTAAATTAGTTACTTGTTAAAACAGCATACAGTAGTTTGTCTTGACATTCTAAACTTTTCTTGTTTTTAGAAGAATTCAGCTTAGAGTGTCTAATCAAAGAATTTCAGTATAATCCCATTTGGTAACCTCTGGAATCACATAAAATGTTTAAGACAATTAAGGTTAATTTTCAGCTTTAAATACATTAAAATTGTGGTGCTTATCTGTAAAGTGATATATTTTATGAGTAGCTGAATGAAAAAGGATCTCTTGACACAGTAAGGTGTAATTAAAATCTGGACACCTGAGAAATAATTTTTTTATTTTACATTAAGTAGAAGAAACAATCACTTCTAGTTGAGTATTAGTAGGAAACTAGCAGCTGCTTAAAGGTTGTTACTTATATAAGGGTAGAAATTAAGGCATGTTATTGTCAAGGTCAGGATGAGTATGTGAATCTCTATTTTAAGCATTCATTGGTTAGTGTCTTCTAGTACTCTTCAGTGAGATCACGATCAGATTAATTTAGCCTTAGGTGGGAAACACTGATTTATGATTATGAATGGTGTAATCCTGGGAATTCCTTACTAGGGCATTGAGAAAATGTATTTAACAGGCATTAAAACAAGTATCCAGCCATTATAAATCAAGATCTTTATAATATAATAATAGTTCACATTTATATGATGCTCTAAGTTTTCAAAGTACTATAGGTACATTACCTCAACTGATTCTTATAACCAGGTAGATAGTATGGACATTATCCCTATTCTATTGGTTAGGAGAATAAAACTCATGAAGGAGAACTGACTTACTCAAGGTTGCCCAACTCATTAGTGGCATATATAGTTCTAGATCCCAAATCTCCTGATCCTGAATCTAGTACTGTCTGCCATATCTCATTGCCTCTCATTGCATATATCAGTGGCTTTTGAAAAAGTAAACCTGACCATTGTTTCAAAATAAAACAAAATGACAAGATAACCAGTACTACCACAGCAACTAGTACAAAATTTAGTATGACCAATATTGCCGCAACTGCTGCAGTTTTTAGAACTCTCAGTGTTTTTGTGCTGTTTTGACTTTACTGCTCCCTGTTAACAGTTTAAGTGGGAATAAATAATAGACCAAATCTGTAGAATACCTAAACAGTTGGGAAAAATGAGAGTGGAGTGAGAAGACAAGGTAGAAGAGAGAAATCTGTCAGTTTCTTTTGTTTACATTGTGCCAAACATTAGACAGATTTTTTTTCCCCACAGAATTGACTGATTGTTTTGGCATTTGATAGAAATTTGTTTTTCTTTCTGACTTTAAATGATTAAAAATGCAACAACTGGAGATTTTTGAGCCTAGACAGGTTAAAGAATTGGAAAGGGACAAGTAGGAAGCTCACATGGTGATAACTATAAGTATGAGCAAGCTAATAAAAACCTGTGGTGGGCTGGTGAGTATCACAGTGTTAGAACTAGAAGGGGTCTTAGATATTATCTAGTCTAATTTTCTCATTTTGTAGATGAGAAATCTCTATTAGAGAGACAAGTGACTTACCTAGAGTCACACAGCTAGAAAGTGACAGGCATCTCCTTGATATTATGAACATGTATGACAGACCTTTTATGTATCTCAGGCTCTTAGGCTTTCTGATAGATTGTGTTTGTTTTATAGCGACTAGAAACTGTTCAGTTGCTCCTGCTAATTAATCAGACTTCTTATTGTCTGCTACTCTTCCTGCTGTGCTTATTAGGAAAATAATCTTAATGAATATGATTAATGTTGTTTAATCAAGCTAAGGGAACAAATTGTGTTCTATTCCTTTTTTTCCCATGGAAGAACTGTGGGATTCAGTGAAAGATGTTTTTCTACTTCACTTGGACAGAAGAGATTTCATATTTTCATAAATAATAGGGCTAAAGTTAGGAAAAATCAGTGGTCAGATTTGGGCAAAGTGTAGTCTGCTTTCCTTACCCTCTCTTTGTTCTTTCTTTGGTATATTTGTTTAGTGATTTTTATAGGGTACTTTCGTATTTAACTTCTAACTTCTTTCTTTGCCTATCCTAGCTATTCTCTGAGCACTTTTCTTTCTCAAAGAGGGGAAAGTTGTCATTTGGTTACATAAATTCATAAGCAACTCCAAACTTAGTATTCTTTTACACTGTAGCTGATTGCAGAATATTCCCTACTTATCTATAGTTCTACTAAGAATACTGAACTTTGGCTGAGGGGATTATCACTCACCAGAGACTATGAGTGGACATTACATTGTAGAAAACTGATAGTAGAGCTCCTAACAAACTAGGACCCTGAGGTGTGGACTACATATTGTTTATATTTTTCTTGCCTTGAACTTAGTTAAGTACATATTTCCTGCTTCAAATAGTTGTTCAGTTGCATTGAGTTGGGCAGGGTGTTTGTACTAGTGTGGTTGTGGGTTTGGCCTTTGTTGCTTTAACTACACTTTTTCTGAAGATGTTAGTAATAATATTCTTTGTGATCATTGTATCTATCACCTTTTGAGATTTTAGCATCTGCATCTAGTATCAAGGGATTTAAAATACTTGTGATTGTTGTGGCATGCCATTAAGCAAATTAAATTTTGAAATGGATTTTCCAAGTGTTCTTTTATTCAGGTAATATGTTTCAGGCTAGAACTATTTGGTAATAACTGAATACACTGTAAATTTTTTACATTGAAGATGCATGTGGCATGTGTTAATCTCATAATGGTAGAGTAAGTTAAAGTGACTGCTACTTGAAAAATCATATTTTGTTGAAATGTGTATAAATAAATGTATTTTCTATGCATGGAGATAACTAAGATATTTATGTTGCATTGACTATAAAAGTATAACATATTAACTGTTTAACATGATAAAAATAATGCCAAAATTGATACTAATTTATAATATGTTTTTTAGCATTCATACTTGTACTGTCTTTTTGAGCAGAACTAATACGATATTTTGATGTGCCACAGGTAAATTTTTCCATAACCTTATGGAGAGAAAGGACTTTGAGACATGGCTTGATAACATTTCTGTTACATTTCTTTCTCTGACGGACTTGCAGAAAAATGAAAGTCTGGATCACCTGATTAGTCTGAGTGGAGCAATCCAGCTCAGGCATCTCTCCAATAACCTAGAGACTCTGCTCAAGCGAGACTTCCTCAAACTTCTTCCCCTGGAACTCAGTTTTTATTTGTTAAAATGGCTCGATCCTCAGACCTTACTCACATGTTGCCTCGTCTCTAAGCAGTGGAATAAGGTTATAAGTGCCTGTACAGAGGTATGGCAGACCGCCTGCAGAAACTTGGGCTGGCAGATAGATGATTCCGTTCAGGATGCTTTGCATTGGAAGAAAGTTTATTTGAAGGCAATTTTGAGAATGAAGCAATTGAAGGACCATGAAGCCTTTGAGACCTCATCATTAATTGGACACAGTGCCAGAGTATATGCACTTTACTATAAGGATGGACTTCTCTGTACAGGTAGGTAATGTAGTGATTTGATGAATATGATCTCAATTCTATTTTTCTTTGCTCCGTTACATTGTAGATTTTTAAATAATCTTCCTCAAAATTGTGGTTTACAGGTGCAGAAATTTTCTCCTACTTTGTCCTTTTACTACTATGGCCTGTTGCTAGAGATAAAAAGAAAAATATCTCCTCCACCCCCCATTCTGATGAGTGGAAATCTTTAGAAATTGTTGAGATCTGACACTAAATGGAATGGAAGCCAAGTTATTACATAACTCTCCCTATGCTGGTTAGTGGCAGGAATACAGAACTTCACTTGATTAGCCTTGTGACACATGGGTTCAAGAAATTGACTTCATAAATGAAATATGGGGGAGACATGGTTAGATATCAGTTTTTTTAAAAAATCTGGGAGTTTAAATGAAGTACAAGCTCAGTGAGTCAGCCTGGGAGTTGGAAGCTGGGGAAAAAAAAACCAACAGATTTGATCTTGAGCTTTGTTAAGGTATATCTTGAAAGAATAGGGATGTCGTCTCACTATATTCTGCCTTTGGCAAACCATGTGTGGAGTATTGTTTTTAGTTCTGGACAACATATTTTAGGAGGGGCTAAATAAAATGGGAGAAGATCCAGAGGAGGGTAGCCAAGATGAATTTGAATCTGTGATATTTGAAGGTTAGTTGGAGGAACTGGGGATGTTTAGCCTGGAGAAGAGAAGGCTAAAGCCTTGTGGTACTTGAAAGGTTGTCTTGTGGCAGAGATGTTAGATTTTAGAGTTAGAGGTCAGAGATGTAGAACAGGAAGGGAGGTCATCTCATCCAGGAGTTATTAACCTGGATTCCGTGAACTTGTTTCTTAAGATTTTGATAACTGTATTTCCTTATTATTGGTTTCCTTTCTAAGATGTGCTTTATTTTATGCGTTTAAAATGTTCTGAGAAGAATCTATCAGCTTTGCCACATGACCAAAGGCATGTGTGACACAAAAGGCTAAGAATCTTGATATGGTTCAATCTCACTTTATAGATGAGAAAATTAAGGCCCAGAGAAATGAAGTAATTTGTAGAAGGTCACACCAAGATTAGGTGGCAGAAATGAAATTTGAACCCAAGTCTTTGACTCTCCACCATTGCTCTTTGCATTGGACCATGATGACTTATTTTGTTGGCCTCAGAAGGCAGAAGTAGAAGCAATGAATGGAAAGTTGCAAAGAAGCAAATTCAGCCTTGATGCAAATAAAAACTTTCATTTAATCTAGAGATACCAAAAAACGTTATGAGTTGCTTTGGGAGGTAATGGGTTACCTCAGCCTTAAGGCTTCAAGAAAAGACTTGGGTGTCATAGAGAAGGTTCTTCTAGAGTATATATGAGTTGGACTAAGATGGCTGCTGAGGTCCCTTTCAAATCTGAAATTCTGTGATTCCTTAATTTTGAGCAACTAATTTAACCTCTTTGTGCCTTAGTTAAAAAGTTTATCTCTCCCACGGCCTGGTCTAGTTCTCTCCCCACTGGATGCTTGGTAAGTGTTTGTTGAATTGCTTTATGAGAAAAATGAGCTAGTGGGCTCGGTTATTTCTAAGACCCTTTTTCAGGGCTAGCAGCTCTCTCCCATGTCTGCTAGGATGAGGGATTAGAGGCTAGAAAGTAGGATTTTTCTGTTTCCACTGACTTCCAGCACGTCTTTGATATCCTTCCCATAACAGTTTCATGTTCCTGTTTGGTCATGTCATTCTCATGCTTGAAAAATATCTTGATGCCTAGTGTTTAACCTCTTATTTTTGCCTGGCATTGAAGGGCCTCTTCATTGTGACACTATTGGATATCATATTACTTCCCTCGGAGCAATCTCTATGGAGTCACACTGGACTACTTTCTGGCCAGGGAACATGCCTGTACTTTTCTCCTCTGTGCCTTGCTCACCCTTTGCTTTGTTTTGCCTGAAATAGCTTCCCTTTCTTTCTTTGCCTGTTGAATTCCTTCCCATCTTTTAGCCCATCTCATTTGCCATGAAACCTTCCTTGATCCTTCTTTCAACAACAGTATTCTTCATATAGGTATAAAGTAGCTACACTTTTTTGTATCCCTCTATTGTACTTTAATATGTTTTTATGTATTATGACTATCTGTGTAGATTTTTAAATTCATATAGTCATACTTAAACCTAAAAAGGACATTAAAGTTCACCTGGTTCAGCCTCCATGTTTTACAGTTGAGGAAACTGAGGCTTAACAAGGTAAATGGACTTGCTGAAGTTCACATGACTAGTAAGAGGCCAAGTCAGGATTTAAACCCAGCCCCTTTACTTTCAAAGTTACTCTTTCCACTGTATCACTCTTATCTTTTTGGACAGAAAAAAAAATTGGGGGTCTACATGACTGATATCTGTGGTAGAGCATCAAGTATGTTAAACTTTATATGCTATTGAGCAATATTGCTAAAGGGCTGATATTTAGAGAGCAGGACATGACAAGTGACCACTTGTATTAATAAAAAACCTGGGCACGGGAATACATGAGGTTAATAGTGATGAGGGGAAGAAAAAAGAGGGTGGTGTGGAATTTTAGAACAAATTAAAATTCTTATTATTTTAACTTCTGTTTCAGTGAACCAGTTTATCATATGCTTTTTTTCCCCCATAAATAGTATTTTATTTTTTCCAATTACATGTAAAGATAGTTTTCAACATTCATTTTTTAAATAAGATTTTGAATTCCAAATTTTTCTCCCTCTTTTCAATGACAGGCAATCTGATATAGGTTATACATGTGCAGTCATGTTAAACATATTTCCACATTAGTCGTGTTGTGAAGGAAGAAACAGAACCAAAGGGAAAAACCATGAAAAAAAAATGAAAATAGTATGTTTCAATCTGCATTCAGATTCTGTAGTTCTTTCTCTGGATGTGGATAGCATTTTGTGTTACGAGTCTTTTAGAATTGTCTTAGATCATTGTATTGCTAAGAAGAGCTAAGTCTATTATAGTTGATCATCATACAGTGTTGCTGTTACTGTGTGCACAATGTTCTCCTAGTTCTGCTCACTTCATTGAGCATCAGTTCATGGAAGTCTTTCTATGTTTTTCCGAAATCTGCCTGCTCATCATTTCTTATAGCACTATACTATTCCATTGCATTCATATATCATAGTATGTTCAGCCATTCCCCAATTGATGGACATCCCCTCAATTTCCATTTCTTTGCCACCACAGAAAGAACTGCTATAAATATTTTTGTACATGTGGGTCCTTTTCCCTTTTTTGTGATCTCTTTGGGATACAGACCTAGTAGTGGTATTGCTAGATCAAAGGGCATACCCATACATATACGCACAGTTTTATAGCCCTTTGGGCATAGTTTGAAATGGCTCTCCAGAATGTTTGGATCAGTTAGTTCACAACTCCACCAGCAGTGCATTAGTGTCCCAGTTATCCCACATCTTCTTCAACATTTGTTATTTTCTTTTTCTGTCATATTAGCCAATCTGATAGGTGTGAGGTGCTACTTCAGAGTTATTTTGATTTGCATTTCTCTAATCAATAGTGATTTAGAGCATTTTTTCATCTTCATACACTTTTAAAAGTCACAGAAGACACTGACGTAAAATATTTTAATGAACTGGCTGAGTATTAAAATTAAAGGGAGTATTCCTTAATATAGCATATGTTCATTAGAAAATGGTATTTAGGGTACAGCCAGCAGTAGCATTTCTAAACCACATTAAAATATCAGCTTTTATGATGTGACTATGCTTTTTCATGGTCCTACAAGGATACAGCAGTAATAAATGAGAAAGAATGTTTGACCTTTCCCCAAACTTCTGTGTTAATCCAAGCCATAGAGCAGAGATTATTAACCTTGGATTTGTGAACTTTAAAAATACACACACACCCCTATACCCATAAAACTTTCAGTGTAACTGAAAGCCTATGTATTTCATGCACTTAAAAGCATTATTTGGGGTGAGGGGAGATCCATAGGTTTTACTAGACTGCCAAAGGGATCCATGGCACAAAAGTTTAAAACCCCTGCCACAGAGGGGCTTCCGAGTCTTTCTGATCCTAAAAATAAAACCAGAAAATCGTCTGCTTGTCCTTTTCTCTCTCCTTCTTCCTCTCTCTCTCCATTGTTTTTTGTTTTTTTTTTTCCAGTCACGTCTGACTTTTTGTGACCCCATTTGGGGTTTTCTTGGCAACAAAACTAGAGCATTTAGTCATTTCGTTCTCCAGCTTATTTTACAGATGAGGAACTGATACAGTCAGGGTTAAGTGACTTGCCCAGGGTCACACAGCTAGTAAGTATCTGAGGCTGGATTTTAACTCAGGTCTTCCTGATTTCAGGCCCAGTGATTCATCCACTGAGCCACCTACCTGCCCTCTCCTAGACCATAAGCTCCATGTTTTTTGTACATTTTGCAATACTTCTGTTCCTAGCCTATTTATCTGCATAGTAGGTGTTTAATAAATTTTTTGTAAAATGAATGGATGAGGGAAGGTTAAATTAGCAAATGGTAGGACTTTTAAACCGTTTATGGAAATGGGCCCCTTGATTTGAAGGGACATATTGACTTGGTGTCTTATCATCTAGAAGCCTGATTATTCAAACATAATAATGCTGCCTTTTATAATGTAAAATCATGACACAGACTCACCATCTGGACACCATATATTCCAAATGACTTTTCTTTTATATTTTTGATGCATGTAGGTAGATCTGTCTACATTCTTATGACCAATGACAGGCAGTTTTTGAAGAAGAGGGGTTCAGTTTGATGGTGGGACCACATGGAACTTTGGTGTCATTGAGATAGCATATTTTAGTGGATAAGGCCTTGGATTTGTAATCAGAAGACCAGGATTTGAGTCCAAGCTCTGCCACTGTCTAGCTCTGTGACTATGTAAGTCACTCAGTATTTAATATTGATGAATCAATAAGACAAGCAGTGTGATAAAATGGATAAAAACCTGAATTGGAGTCAGGAATAAGTAGATTCAGATCCTTTTTCTGGCACATTTGA